CCGGAGTACAGTACACAAGCGCTGAGTATTACCATGGCAGCTGAATCCCACCCGAGTCCTGCAGGGGTGTGACTCACCCCCACTAGCTCAACAAAGGGAGAGAGGCCGCCGCATAGAGACGCAATCTCTTTGTGCATCTCTCTCTCTCTCGCTCTGTCACATGCTGCATTGCCAACTTACATGTGGGCTCTATGCCCGTCTATGATCGCACCCCAACACCTTCACATAACATAACGTGCCAATGTATACTTTTTACATACATATAGTTTGAGATGACATGTTTTTCTCCTGTGACGGTGAAGATTGTTCTGTGTTATGGCTGATGATTCTCTTATTCTAGCTGTTAAAAGAAACTTCACAGGAGGGCAGCTGGACTTCTACACTATACTGATGCATGCAGCAGAAATGAGTCAGGAAGAGGTGAGAGTTGGGTCGAACCCATGTGTGAAGTGATCCTGAATTTGACTATGAGCCGAGGTAACAGGGCCAGTAATGTGGTAAGGTCCGTTTATTGGTGCAATGGGAAGGTGGCAACTCAGCAGATAAAAGATGATGGATGCAACCTTGAGTGACAGACAGTTATTATCCTGAACGAAAACTACATACAGTACAAAACATTTTCGTTTGAAGAAAACTTTAAAAGCTAACTGAAACTAAAAAAAAACTTTGACTCCAGAACTTAACTTTCTTTTGTACTGTGATGTACATCCAAGTGAAGCAGACTATTGAAAAAGAAAAATGTAGGGCAGAAACTTGGTTCTATCTATCAGTCATTGACTGGATGCAATCAGCTTGCAATCGATTGTAAAAGTAAAAAAAGGGGCGGGTTTTAAGCGAACTAAATGATTGGAGAAGTCTGGCATACATCACCAGAAAATAAAAGTCATCATTCACCCTCAAGTTGTTCCAAACCTGTATGATGTTCTTTCTTTTGTTAAGCACAAAAGAAGATATTTTGTGCTATAATGTTGTGCTATAAACATGATATAATGTTGGTAACCAAACAGCTGATGGTAGCCAATGACTTCCATAGTATGAGAAAAAATATTATGGAAGTCAATGGCTACCGTCAACTGTAGGTTACCAAAATATCTTCTTTCCTAACTATCCATTTAACTTTGGCAGCCCTAAACTAGTAAAACTAAAATAAAACAAAAGATTTAAATTAAAATAAATCAGAACTTTAAAGGGGTCATATGATGCGATTTCAATTTTTTCTTTATCTTTGGAGTGTTACAAGCTCTTGGTGCATAAAGAAGATCTGTAAAGTTGCAAAGACTAAAGTCTCAAATCCAAAGAGATATTCTTTATAAAAGTTCAGAGTCAGCCACACCTACCTAAAATGGCTCGTTCTAACACGCCCCCACATACCTACATCACTATGTGGGAAGATTTGCATAACGCCAACCAAATGTTCACGCAAAGAAAGAAGACGTAACTTTTATTCTCGCTGTAGTATTGTTGACGCTGCAGCCATGTCGTGAAGACGCTGTGTGCTTCGTTGTGAAAGCGAAACTACTTTGTTTGGTCTTAAGCAGATGCAATTTATCAAAAACAAAAAGAAACTTTGACATGTTTGAGTCACAAAGTATTTAAAGCCTCTGTGCTGATTCATGCCAGGCTGACCAGTCCAAACTAATTCAAAGAGGGCTTTTTATTTTCTCTTTTTCTTCCCAACAGTGCCTTTTTTAAGGGATTATGGGGAACTCACTGAAGAACAGGAGACCAGCTTCTTGTTTTGTTTGAGAATGTGTTTTGGGTCTATAAATCTTGACCAGTTGGAGGCAGCACTGGCTTCAGTCTATGCATTTCAAACCCTGAACCTGATACTTTACTGTAAGGTTCCTGAGACCATATAGAATCATTTCTGGGAAAATGATTATTAATGAACCAGCACAAGTGGGGGAAAAAATTATATTGATGCCAATTTGTAACATATTTAGGAATTTCTATTTATTGCCTTTATCTAGTATTTCCAAATCTGTAAATAAAAAGGCAAATAATATAATATAATAAATATTATTATATAACATTTATAACATTATATAACATTTATGCCTTATTTACATTACATTATACATAATAATATAAACTATTTAACAATTATAAAACATTTCTATTACTTATTTAATTTATAATATATTTATAAACAAAATCATTGTTATTAAATAAGTCATATTATAATGCTTACAAATTGTATAAAAAGCATAAATATTATAAAACAAATATCATATTAAAAACACATTATCTAATTATATTTTATAAGTAACAGAAAAACTTTTTTATTTTAATTATATAATTGAGATTATAACATATTGAATTTACCTTGTACTTCCAAAATAGCATAAATAATATAAAAGTAAATATTATATATATATATTAAAAAGTAT